TGCAAAGTCCATGACCATGGCATGAATAAAGGTTCATTCAAGAAGTATGTCTATCTTTGGAATCAAAGAAACATACATTGAGCTTCAAGGATGATATCACATAGCATGCATCTTACTTGAAGGAGATATTGGTGATCAAGGGATTGAATTACACAACTATCAATCATAGGAAGGTTTGTTCAAGCCGTTGACTCTTTCTATCACTTTGGGTGGCTATGATATGTTGCTAGATACTGCTCTTAGTCTGTGAATGTTTTTCGCTGCCATCATGATAGAAACCTAAAGGATCACACACTCAGTGCATTTTGGGGATTGGGATTTCTATAAATCCAAGTTTGTAGATTTGGATTAATTTAAGTGAAAATAGTCTTTTAACAAAAGAAACAAATTAATCAAGTTTTGAAATAAATTGGTAGAAAGAATTAATTTAATTTACTTTAATTAGTTCAAGTTCAAATTTGTTCTAAGTTAAGGACAAGAAAAATCCAAGATGGCATTTAAGTCCTTAAAGAGCTTATGGCCTGCAACCCTAGTCCACTGGACTCGAGCTTGGGCAACACATGGGCAAGGAAGTCCATGGCAGGAATTCCTAGTCCAACATGGACTAGGGTGTGCGGCAAAAGGAAAGAAAAAGGTAGAAAAGAAAGTCTTTTCTTTTTGGGATTTCTATTTTAACTTGAAGATCAATTTTGGTAATTCTATTGGATTAGAATGGCAAGTCTTCTATTTTCTATTAATATAAATAAGAGTAGAAAATGGAAACCCTAGTTGATTTCATCCATCATAGAATCTTAAGCTACTAAAATTATTCTACCAAAACCCCAAAGGAGAAATATTGACTTTCTAACTTTTAGCACATTTAGAGACTCAGTATTCTTTAAATCCTTGAGCGTCCTTATGGATCACCACTTGAGGAATTCTACACTTCGATTCTTGGGTGACTTCATCAAAGGATGGTGGTTAAAGCTACACATCAATGAGGCACACATCATTAAGGTACTTACCATAAATTCTTCCTTAACCCTCAAGATGACATAGGAATCCTAAGTGGATTGAAAGTGGACAAGATTAAATGTTTAAATTTTTCTATTTCTACTCTGCCCTTCTAAACCCAACAAGTATTCCTCTTACATAGCTCAATCTTATAAAGTTCCCTCAAAAAAGGACAAGCCATGTAAGGATTAAAAAAGGGGTCTTCTTCCCCATTTCAAAGGTAATTTTCTTTTTCTTTTTTCTTCTTTTCTTCTTCAACCTTCCTCTCCTCCATTACCATCCTTCTAGGACCTTGACCAAATTGGGTATTGCTCATTTAAGCATTGGAGTGCATATGTTGGAAACCACCTCCAATCCATACATTAACAAGCCTTTCTTTAGCCTGCATGCAAGTCAAATTGCCATGGCAACTTTTCAAGTTAGCACATTTGCCCAACAATACTAACGGTGGGAAACCCATTTTTTTCCTTGATAGCAATTGTCTAATTATCAAATTTGAGATTGAGTGGGATAGTTGCGTTGGGCTAGCCAAGTGAGGAAGCAAGAGTAAAAGCTATTACACTCCTTAATTAGTGAAGGCTAGTAAAAAGATGTGTCATGGCCTATGCCATGATTTGGTGTGTGAAGGACAAAGTGGTGTAGGTGGTGAGAGGTCTGGAGGGTTGGCAGTTTTTATTGTGGAGGCATAAGAGGTAACAAGGGGTGAAGAAAGGTGGTTGGGTTAAAAGGAAGGCTGGCTTGGTGCTAATTGGGTGCAGAAGTTGAGGAGTACAAGGGTGGGATTGTCAGTAAGAAGGCTAGAGGTTAAAGAAAATTGGGGCGATTACAAAAAGGGACCTCAACCTAGGGTTTTAGTTTAGTCCAGATTGTGAGATTTGGTGCTTTTGCTCTCTATGAAAAGCTAGAACCAACCCTTATGAATCATAGTATGTAGAGACTAGTGGATACCAACTAAGGGGAGACCCAGGATTACAACTTCTCTCCAAGGTTATTGGTTATTCAACAATCAAAGTAGTATGTGCTAGCTTTAATGTACATATCTAGCTTGGTTCTAAAGCCTAGACAAAATCCTTAGTAATTCAATTCCATTTAGTTTCATTTTTTTTGTTTGGTTTTTGTTTAGTAGACTAGTATAACCAATTTTGGTTTGAGGGACCTTGAGAGCATTGGTCTTTAGTTGAATAGATTCCCTCTAAGGTTGTTTAGTTGGTGCTACTTTAGTTTATGACTAAACGTTTAAAATTGGCTAAAATTACTTAATTAGCAGTTGTCCTAGTAATTAAAACAACCCTTTAGAGCATGCACAATAGGAGTTCTCTACCAATAACTTGTTGATCTAAGTGAAAAAAGTTCAATTTCTCTTAAATAAGATCTTAATTTTGAATCTTTTGAATAAAAAAATAGATATTGGAAGAACTTCTCCTCTTATGAAGTCTAAGGTGACTTGATTTTGAATTAATCAAAGTTCAATGTCACTTTCGGATACGAAGGGATTTAGTAAAAAAAAATAAAAAGGAATTCTCTTCCATTGTTTTATTCAAAATAAAAGAGACAAAGCTTTAACCCATTGAAGCCCTCTTTTCTCTCTAAAAGAGAAATGTCTCTCTCCAAAGAGACAACTCTCTTTTCTTTTTTTTTCTTTTTTTTTTTTCTTTTTGCTTTTTAAAATTTATTTTAAAGTATAGGAGTTTGCACTGCTTAACATCAAGTTAGGCTATGCAATTTTTTAGTTGTCTTGAAGGTGCAAATTTTGATCTAAGGACTAGTGTTTGTTTTTATTTTTTTACCTCAATTCAAAATTTTTGGTTAAGTAGGTTAAATAAAATAATATTAATACAACTTTTGAAGAATCTCTATTTAAATATATGTATTGGCGAAAACATTTTTATTAGGTGTTCTATTTAAGGGTTTATATATTTAAATTTTGAATTTATATAAAATAATATTAATTTTTTGATGTAATACCAAAATGACATTTTGTATTGTTCTTCATTATGCATGTTTCTACAATGAGACGATAGTTAGTTGTATGGTTTTAGCTTGATGGACTGGAACAAATCTATTATTAGGGCTTCTCCCGAACTAATGTAGGCTCTATGAGCAATTTCAACCGAATTTGATGAATGAAGAAGCTTCATTACAGATTAAAAAAAAAAAATAGAAGAAGTATATTTGCCGCTAATAAAAAAAAAAGGTGTTTGTTTTACTTCTAAAAAAAAAATCAGAATCAAGATATAGAACAAAAATTTAACGGAAAAGCAGTAAAAAGGCTTATAAAGTGGACATATCTGCTTACCAAGGATTAGAGCACACATTGAAATCGATAGCAGGGCTACTACTGTTACTGCAATGAATGATTTGGATTTAGATATCAAATAAAGAGTTTCACGACTGCAATAATGTAGATTGACACTTTTTTCACATGTTTTTAAGTAATATTTTTTTAATAATTTATAAATGATAACTAAGATTTTTTTTTGTATATAATTTTTATTGAATAGTTTCATTTAATTAAAATTTTTTATTTATTATTCCTGTAAAATATATGAAAAACATCACCTAAAATTATGTATGAAATGTCAAATGACGACTTATGTTTGAAATAGAGGGAGTATAAGAGCAAAAATAACTTTAATTCATCCAAATTATGAAACAAAAGCTAGAACATATAGATCTATTGACTTTAGATCACTTATTTCCTCCTCTCATAATTAAAAATATATTCTTTATTTCTAGAAATAAAAAACAAGATATAGTGTAAATTTTCTTCTAATTTGTGAATAAAAAAATAATAATAAATTTATTTATTTGTTGATGAGTACAAGGGCATGCACCTAAACCTTTCCCTTCCCACATTGAGTACTCATATGAATGGTGGGGATCAGCTATGCTGGCTATGCATGAGGACTGTAGGGATGTTTTCAGACAGCATGCAGGTGTAATAAAAGGGAAGGAAATAGCAGTACTAACGATGGAGAGAGAGCGTAAGCGAAGGCAAGGTAGAGAAAGAGGGCGAGGTAACAGTCTTAGAGCGTGGCAACGATGGCGGGCATAGAGCAGTAGTTATGGGAAAAGATCTGGTCTTTCGTCCAGGGGCCATGGTCATACTGTGGATCCAAAAAACAATGATCAAGGAAGACGAAGGGTGAACCAGTGAACCAGAGGCTGGGCAGATTTGATTGGAAAATCTACAACCAGGCAACGGTCTATTATTTTACAAACTTTCCAGATGATTGGTCATACGAACAGATATGAAGGACGTTCCTAAAATATGGACGTGTGTGCGTCATCTATAGCCCGAGTAGGAAAGGAAAGTCAAGCAGCAGATCTGGGTTCGTTTGATTCTTGGAAGTAAGAGATGCCAAGACACTGGAAAGTCAATTAGATCAAATTCGGATTGGAAATTGCAAACTAAGGGTGAACTGCCCTCGCTCTGAGAAGAGATCCAGTGAGGAGACAATTAAGCGCAGGGATGCAGTTTAAGAGAAAAGGAAGTAGCACAGCAGGGGCAACACGAATTCAGGGAAGTAGTTATGCAGATGCAGTGAAGGGCAGCAGTAGAGTGCTCCACTGGCAGCAGGAGAAAGAAAAAATCAAAAGGGGTCGACAGGTCTGCAAGATATAAAATGCAGACCAAACATGGTCAGGGTTGGAATTTAACCCTAACAAGGAAAATTGGGAATGGTTGGAAGG